CAAACATCTAATACTAATATACTATTGCTGGACTACCTCTTACTGATACAAACTACACTGTTACTATCATTCCTGTTAATATTATTGGATATGGACCATCAGCTACTGTTAATGGTACAGTTGATGTGCATGTATAGTATCATTATTTTTATATATTTTATATAGTACAAAATAAATCATTAGACTGTTCTTCATTAGCAAGTTCTCCTGGTCCATCATCAGGTTAGTATTACTAATTATATCGTCCATTGTTAGTAATATTATCTTATACTCCATTAGTCAGTGCATATACATCACTAGTATGTATAAATAGAATCACTGTGTAATTATCTATTATAGCTATAGACATTACATCTGCATTGGTGAGTGGCATAGCATCAACCATTATGCCCACTGCTGGTGCTAATGCTCTTCCCATTATATCAGGAGCTATTGGAGCAGTATTTGTTATAATAATGATTATAATAATAATAATAATAATACTGGTGTGTGCTAAAAGACACAGTAAGTATATTAATAATATTAATTTAGTTAGTTAATTCTCTCTTAAATAGAAATAATGAACAAAGAAAGGTTAAGTGAAATTTATTAATTATTAATTCCTTTTATTTCATTTTATATATAGTCATACAGCAAATGGTAATGGAAATGAGGTAAAGTACGAGTACACATGATCATTATAAACATTTTTTGATATCCTCCACAGACTAAAGGAGTAACTAATGGTAGTTCATACAGAAACAATAATATTGAAGTAAATTAATAATAATGACCCTTGTTTATTAATGACTGAAGGATAGAACTCATCTTTCTTCCAGTTCTGATCCTTCTGTATATGTGACCATAATTGACAAAAGGTACCTTATGGCGGATAGGAAAATTGGTCTTTATAGCCTTAAAAATCTAACTTTCTGAGCTCCAATTATCATGAAATTACTCCAGAGGATGTAAAAAGTTACTATGTAACTTTTGGAAACAATAGTTGTCTAATAGAGCACTCACAGGTTGATATTTTTTATCATAATGATGAATTTTAAAATCCGCCATAAGGTACCTTTTGTCAATTATGGTCACATATTACTACCGTAGACTGACCCCATTCAATATATAACTACTGTATACTGACCCCATTCATTATATGCTGTTGTGTTTCATTCATTAGTTACAACCTACTGATCCTACTTATGCTACTCCTACCACTGAATATACTCCAGCAGCTGCTTCTACTGTAAGGACACTACAAGGAGGAGATAAACCAATTTCATATCCACCACCACCTCCTACGGGTAAGAAATTTTATGTACATTTTGGTCCAAAACTCAAAAAGTTTTATTTAAAATTAGCTCAAACTTTCTACATAGCATAAAGACATGTATCAGGAAATGTTGTAAAATGTAGGAATGATTTCAGAGCCAAAAATTAAACAAAAAGCATGTACAATGAAAAGTACATACATGTTGAAATAGCAGCTCATAGTTCTAGTGTATCAAATACATCAACAGTTTATTTCTATTGTATTACAGGTTACTTAAGTAAAGTGTTGCATACACTACACAATGACATTAGTACACACATCACTTTAATATAATAAATAAATCAATCCACATACACCATATACCCAGCACATACTTACATCCAGTCATCATTTAGTGTACATTAGCAAGAATAACATTAACCTTCCTCTACCTGTCATGACATGAACCATATGTGTATACATGTAACACACAATAAGCTGACAACAGCCTACACAGGGTAATCATATGTTTGACTGTAAGATACAATGAACTAGCACATGATAGACAAGAGGACATGATAGACAATCCCTTGTAAAAATTCCCAGCAAGATCTTGTTAATTTTCTTACAAGATCATGACAAGAATCTTGACAATAATTCGCAAGATCTTTCCTGAATTTGGAACAAGGATCATGTAAGATAGTGGAAGATCTTGCTATCAAGATTCCTTCAAGTTCTTGCAAGATCAAATGCAAGATCTTTTCAAGATTCTTACCAAGTCTTAACAGGATCTTTCCTGAATTTGGAACAAGGATCATGTAAGATAGTGGAAGATCTTGCTATCAAGATTCCTTCAAGTTTTTGCAAGATCAAATGCAAGATCTTTTCAAGATTCTTACTAAGTCTTAACAGGATCTTTCCTGAATTTGGAACAAGGATCATGTAAGATAGTGGAAGATCTTGCTATCAAGATTCCTTCAAGTTCTTGCATGGTATTTTAGCATACAATGCTCTTTAAAAATTAATGCAACAGTAAGATCTATAGGCAAGATCCTACATTGCATGAATGCATAATACATGTGTAAATTGTTGTGAAATGTGAAAGTGAACGTCATTGATTTTTTTGATTGAAAGTGATTAAAACTTCAGTTTCTTTATATGCTGCCATTACTGTTAAGGCTATCGTGGGTTGTCAACTACTTCCTGTGACGTCACATGATTTGTAAGATCTTTCAAGATCTTGTAAGACTCAAAATACTGTGATGTGTGATCTTATAGTATCATAAGATTATGGCAGATTTTTCAAGATCTTAAACTTATGAGATTTTGTAAGATCTTATGAGATTTTAAGCTAACAAGATCATGTTAGTTCTTACAAAGTTCACAATGTGGGATATTTCAAGATTTTCATTAGGAAAATACTGCGATCTGGGATCTTACAGTATCATAAGATCATGACAGATTTGTCAAGATCATAAACTTATGAGATTTTGTAAGATCTTATGAGATTTTAGGCTAACAAGATCATGTTAGTTCTTACAAAGTTCACAATGTGGGATATTTCAAGATTTTAATTAGGCATGATCTTACATTTTCTAACATATTCCTTTACTCATAAGATCTTTGAAATTCTTACAAAAATTATAGTCATGTTAGATCTCAGGAGATCTGACAGCTTCTTAAAATCTTATGAAATCTTAAAGCAAGAATTTGTAAGAATTTCTGTGACAAGATTTTACAAGATTTCTATCTTACGTTTTCTTGTATTGTCATGTGAAATCATGAAACATCTTATAAGATCTTGCTGGGATTTTTTACAAGGGATGTGCTTAAGTACATGCTCTATTTGTGATCAGTATAGACTCAGTAATTATATATACATTATTATTATTAATATACAATATTCACTAGGTCAGTACAGTGTTCTTAGAGCCAGTGATGATGATGATACTCCCCCACCAGTACCAGCCTATAATCATAGGCGGCGGAACAAAATTTATTTTGGGGGGGGGGCTGAACATCAATTAAGTTATTAAAATGGGTGTGGTTTTATACAAAATGGCTGCTAATTTTACAAAAAATGGTGCTAATCTTCTATTGTTGGATTTAGAGTAGTTTTCTTGTCTTTTTCTTTAAATAAAATGAAGAGATGATGACTGCAGGTCTAATTTTACTGATAAAAGTCAGTTTTATTTTCTTTGTTAGTCAGTTGCAGAGAATTTCTGGGGGGGCTCAGCCCCTCCTGTTTCAAGACTGGGGGGGCTTTAGCCCCCTCTGCCCCCCCTGTTCCGGCGCCTATGCCTATAATCCTAATGGAGTACAAGAATACTCTGAACTGAAGAGAGAGGGAGAGGTATAATAAACAAAATACCAGACATACAATAACAATAATGTATAATAGAAAAAGAATAAACAACAACAACAACAACAACAACAAGGAGCTGGTCCACTTTATTCAACACTCAATCAAGACAATGATACTCCTCCTCCTGTCCCTCCTGCCTATAATCCTGAGGGAGTACAGGAATACTCTGTATTGAAGAGAGAGAGAGAGGTCAGTGATTAATGAGGATTGTTTAATGGATCATATAATGTATTATTAATAGAATAAGGGTCAACAGGGTCTGTCTACTGGTGCTACTGGACTATATTCAACCATTAATAAAAACACCAACAACCAGGTATGGATACATGTACATAATCCACTCTTGACATAATGTATTGGGTTTAATGAACTACATGTACATAATGTATTGGGTTTAATGAACTACATGTACATAATGTATTGGGTTTAATGAACTACATGTACATAATGTATTGGGTTTAATGAACTACATGTACATAATGTATTGGGTTTAATAAACTACATGTACATTATGTATTGTATCATATAAAGGAAGGGAAGAGGGTAATGGGTGACTTGAGTGTATCCTTTTAGCTTTTAATGTAATAAGGTGAACTTATCCTTATGTAATCTGATGTACCACCTTATAGTAACTAATACACACATACCACAAGTACATGTAAATGCATTAGTATAGGTATGTACATTAGTATAAGGTATATTAGTACATAAGGTATGTACATTAGTAATTAAGGTTCATGTTGTTATATTCAATAGGTGTTAGTTGATGAATCAGCTCATAAGCCAGTGTATGCTGATCTGGCTATTGCTGCTAAAGGGAAGAGACCACAGGCAGCACCAACACAAGAACAACCAGTGGTATATGCATCAGTTAACAACAAAGTAATGATAATGTACATGTACATGTAATGGTATCTTATACATCCTCTCTCTCTCCTCCTAGTCTGTTCCTCCTCCCATTCCTCCTCCAGCTGCTCCTCATAAAGTATTGTATGCTGATCTATCAATAGCAGCTGATAAGAGAACACCAAAGAATAAACCACCCACTGAGGAAAGAGT